GTTTTGTTGTTTTTTTTTTTTTTTTTTCCTGTTTAGGGAAATATATCCCCAAAATATTCTGTGCAGCTCGCTGGCCAAGCCAAATGGACATCTTGGTATCAGAATCCAATTCCTTATGCCTCTAAATTTAAGCACCTAACTCTAAAGCTACAGATTTGATAAATGCAACAAATTAAAAGAATAAGGCAGTGTTAGGCACATTGGGAAAAGTTCATAGTTTGGTATCCAGCGCTTCATTTGTACAAGAAAATTATGTAACTTTAATGACTTTTCTTTGATTGCATCTTAAAACTATTTAAAATATAACATATTAAAAAAAAAACACCCTCTAAAATAAAGGTATTTTTTTTTTTCCATTAAACTGTTGTCTTTTTTAAAATGAGACTTCACACCCACCCCACCCCTCTTCCCTTGGGTATTGTTTTTCTTGACATTCCCTTTGTGTGGGTGGAGAGCCATTCTCACAGCAACTTCCTCCCTGGTCTCTGAGCCTGGACTTCCCTCCTTTCCTTACAGGCTTTTGGGTTGTGCTGTGTCGTCCAGCCAGATGTGATTAAATGAGTTCCCTGAAGTATTGATATTACCATGAGGTATCCATAGGTTTTCAATGGAAACCACACTGCAACTGGCTTGAACCTAAAGATTAGTGCTGGAAACTCTTTGTGAATTCAGCATAGCCCCATTTAGGTAATTCAGCTAGTTTAACTTAATTCTGTTCAAATGTGTGTCGTCTTTTTCTTATAGCCAAAAACTTCCTGCTGTTTCTTCTATGCAAACACTGTTCAGTAATTCAAGTATCTGTCTTGCCTCTCTCCTCTCCCTGTCCATCCTGTGCACGTTTATTCTTGTTAGTATATATGAAGACTTTTCACCTTCTTTACATAGGTAAAGGTTTCAAATCTCCAGAGTCTTTTTTCCTATTCAATTTTGTTACTAGTGCTGTAGCTTTCAGGGTTAGCCAGGATCTGTTTGCATGAGCATTACAGAAGTGTCTCTTGGATAGGCCAGTTTCAGAGCACTTAAGTGATCAGGTTATTTTCTCTGTATATTTAAAGGGGAGAGAAACCAGATCAGAGGAGTGCCATCTGTTTCTTGCTGCCATCTTGGAAAACAGCCCAGGTCACTAGTTTATGATGAGATCAACTAGACAGCTTTTAACAGAATATAGACAACGCTAATTCTGAGTCCAGAGCATGGGGCACTTCAAGGAAAACATTTTCTTAGAGCTGAAGTTCATGCTTTTTAGAGGATATGAAAAACAAGTGATGCATTCCAGTCCTTGAAGGTATAAAGTTACCTGGACGAGAAGAGCACTCTCGGAGATTACTGCTGGTGCTGGCGAGGTAAAAATGAAGAGGAGGTGCATCTTGAAGAGGACAAGGCATGAAAGTTGATCTACAAGATTGCCTTTTAGCCCGTAATCTTTCAGTAGATCTTGGTCAGCCTTTCCTCCAGTTTGTAGAAGTTAATGAAACGGAATATGCATGCATTCTTTAGAGGTTCACTGTAGAGTCTGCCTGCTTAAAGGTCATGGAGATGCTTGGCACCTGTGATGGCAATACTGGCTGGTTACGGACATTAGTGTATTTTAGTTGTTTTTTTTTCCCCTGTTATGGTGAAATCTTCAGCACCTTTCGATTACAATGTACTAAGTGTTGTCTTCTCTCCCTGTAAACTAAGCAGTAGTAAAAATGCTAGTAGTTGTTTAGGGTAGGTTAACTGTCAACTAAACGCCATTTTGGTCTTTTACTTCAGTGCTGGAAAGCAGTGCATTGTTTAGATTGCACTGGGAATTCTAACAGTAATGTAAAAAAATGGAAATGGGCAGTGAGTGTAAGATGTGTAGTCACCTTCTAATTTCTTGTATTATTTTTCTGTGAACTATAAAATGAATTTTGCATTCACTTCAGTGAAGCTGTCCTCTGTGCTGCTTTTCCTCTTCCCCCTTCCCCTGTCTAAACCTGGTTGCAGAGCGAGTCTCTCCTGCTTGCAGTTACACAACAACAAAAAAAAAAACACCTGTTTTTTTTTTTTTGCTAGTAGGTTTAAAACACTCACTGTTCTTTTTCATGTACACTCATGTAATAGCTCTCTTCCTGTCCCTAAAGAAATCTTCCTTGAAAATAAAAACCAAATGCATGACCCATGACCTGTGAGACCAGCAGGTGGAGGGAGGTGATTCTTTCCCTCTATCTGCTCTTGTGACCCCTCACCTGCAGCACTATGTTCAGCTCTGGGGTTGCCAACATAAGGATGTGGACCTGCTTGAGCAAGTCCAGAGGAGGCCACGAAGATGATCAGAAGGCTGGAGCACCTCTCCTATGGAGACAGGCTGAGAGAGCTGGGCTTGTTCAGCCTAGAGAAGAGGGCTCCAGGGAGATCCTACATCAGTCTTCCAAAAGAAATCTGGAGAGGGGCTTTTTACAAGGACATGTAGTGACAAGACAAGGGGGAATGGCTTTAAATGGAAAGAGGGTAAATTTAGATTAGATATTGGGAAGAATTCTTCCCTGTGAGGGTGGTGAAGTGCTGGCCCAGGTTGCCCAGAGAAGCTGTGGCTGCCTCATCCCTGGCAGTGTTCAAGGCCAGGTTGAATGGGGCTTTGAGCAACCTAGTCTAGCAGAAGGTGTCCCTGCCCATGGCAAGGGGTTGAAACAGATGAGCTTTAAGGTCCCCTCCAGTCCAAACAGTTGTATATTTCAGCTGCTGGTGAAAATGAAATATCCCATGCTAATGAAATTAAGCCCAGAAACAAAACCAAGCAAATCACCTCAAAATCTTTTTGTGAAAACTGAGCAATATTGATTAGAAAATAAAAGGTTGATCTGGAAAGCTGAAAATGTAATTAAATGAAACAGCAAGATGCTTGGTATTGAGTTTTAGTGAGCTTGGTATTGAGCTTTTCTGGGAATACAGGTATTTATGTCTGTTAAGTAGTCAACTTCTGCAAAACACAAGCTACTGCTTAAATTAACCACAAGGATGTAATATTTCCGCAAGTGAAAATCTGGTGACCTGTTTGAGAAGATAGGATTCTATTAAATAAGTAATGGTTTTGCCACTCCATCATCCTAACACTGGGTATGCAATAGAACAAAAACGGGAAACATGGGCTCTGACTTGTTAGTGGCATCTTGCCATGTCCTTGAGTGGAGCTAAAAATTGGCTCCAGACATGTGTCCTTTGATCTGACTGAACTTTCAAAGTTCTTTGGTGTGGCCCCTTTCATATGTGAAGGGCTGCAGTTCTGTTTTGGCTGTTTCTGCCATCTGCATTCTGTCAAGTTCTATCTTTTTTCTCAGTCATTAAAGCAGAGGAAGGAGAGCAACCTTTGAGATCCAGTTGATTTGAAGGTGGCATTCTACTTCATGAAAAGCTTTGTGCTTAAATTTGAACAAGCTTAACGCTGTTTGTGTTCTTGTTCTGTTTTTTCTCTACAGGATGGTAAGCATCTGCTGAAGTGCTGTGCTGCATCAGCATCCCCAGTTGTTAAGGCTAAGTGTGGACAGTCCTTAGGAGTTCACATGCTTTGTGGAAAAATTTCATCTTTGCTCCATAGGAGGCTGTAAATTCCAGCCAGACTGCCTTCTATGACCATAGCGATTTTCTTGGAAGAGGGACTAGGAGCTGGGGTGTTACCAAACTCATACACAGTTTCAGTATGCACTTCATGAGCTTTTGCACTGCAAACTAGCAGCCCAGAGAGGAGGCCAGGATTTATCCCTTTGTTCCTACAGTTTCACCCTTGATGTCTTCTCTTCTAATGGATACAAGAATAAACTATTTAATACCCTTTTAAGTGACTTACCTGATAGTTGTCTTAACAAGTTCACCAGAGATCAAAGCAATCTCTCTTGTGTGAACTTCCTTGAAATATTTGTTTTGTTTTCAGTACAGCAGCTTGTATCATGAGTAGTCTTTTCTGCTTCACTAATTGTACTTACCATCTAACCTGCATATAGAGTGCCTATGTGTGGAATTGTATATGGCATGGATGTTGGGGAAAAAAGTTTTGTTTGCCCTTTTTTACTTGGTTTTAGACCAAAATACAGTATTGCCTTACTTATCCATTGCCTAGCTATTGATCTATTCATGCTCAAGGGACCAAATGATAAAACTTGCGTTTCCTGGGGTCATTGCTTCTGCAAATGTCTATTCCCTAGCTGATTCTTATTGTCAGAAATAAGTCAGACCTGAATGTGGTTGTTGGAGGTCTTGATGGCTTTGTTGTTGTGATTACTGGTATAGTGAAGTGAATTTGTAAGAGAGGGAATGGGTAATATGTCAAAGTCTTAAGTTCAGAGAGCTGTCGTTTGCATTTGTACTCAAATCTCAGTTTCCATGTTAATAACTTGGTGATTTTCACTCAGACACTTTCCAAAGTTTTCAAAAGCTGTATAAATGCAACCCTTAAAGTCTTAATCTTGTTACTTTGAGATGCAGTCCTTTTAAAGTGTCCATGTTTTCCATAGGTGTCTCTGTAGTTCTCTTGTTCCCCTTACCTGCATGAAACCTAATTGCATGAAATCTCTTCCGTAACTACAGCAAAATCTGTATTTTCACGGTGGCCTCTGTAAACACCAGCCTGGTTATAGTGTGTAGAACAAGCCTGGCAATTAAGACACAAGGTCATGTTGTCTGTCAATGGCAAAGGGAAGGGCACAAAAGGCAGCCTGCCCTCAGCTATTCAGTCATGTAGGTAGCAGATGCTTTTCTTAAGCATAATATTGGTTCAGTGTGTGGCAACTCACCTTGCTCACCTTGAACTCTACACTCTGATAACTTCTGTATCTGGTGGGCAGCCTCAGTCCTTCTAGGAGAGCTAAATCTCTGTAAACAGGATTTGGTAAGTGTGTGCATTGCATGATACTGAGGAAATCTAATTTTTGCATGTTTGGTAGCTTCCTCCATGCATGTTTAAAAATTGTTGGTTTTGTTTTTTTTTTTTTTAACCACGTGTATTTCTTGTTTTTGTTTTTTTGTTTTCCTTCCCCCAACAGCTGGCTTGCCCCTTGGTGTTCTAAACTTGGCCAAAATAAAACCGTATCAAAGAGGCTTTTTCTGTAATGATGACAGCATCAAGTATCCGTTCCATGACAGTACCATCACATCCACTGTCCTCTACACAGTGGGGTTCACCCTGCCCATTTTCTCTGTAAGTAGCTAATATATAGGTAGCTTTTGGTGATGGGAATAAAATGTATGCCTTCCAAGAATTCACCACTGTGACTATAAGTTGAAGACATTCTATAGAGGCTAAATTTTATATATGTTTAGTGATTCGCATGTGAAAGGTGCCACTGCTACTTTCTGTTTTCACAGAAAATCTGAAATGAATCTCCAGCTGCTAGTATCGCTAATAACATTTGTTTTACAAGAAGGAAAAATACAGATGAGGATTTGAACTTTATTAGATAGTCTAAGCTTTTATCGTTGGAGAAAAAAAATAGTACAGGCTTCTAAAATGCTGTGGAATAAGTACATCCCATGTTCAGCACAGGTTAGTCTGAGAACTTAAACACTTGTGATGTTTAAATCTTCCACTGTAGTGGAACACACAGAACTAGTGGCTGTTGTCTCTGTCTCCACATATTTTCTACAGAAATAAGTCTTAATAAGACTGAGTGGGTTTTTTGTTTTTTGGGTTTTTTTTTTATGACTCTTTAAACCCTTCAAACTGAGAGAGGCTGAAAATCCAGTTGCTTCTAGAAAAGAGACTGTGTTTTCAAGATCACATGATTTTTACAAAGAACAACTTCTCAGTTTTTTTCTAACAATATTTTTAGCCTGACTGTATTCCAGTTTTTAGTAAGGTTTGAGCAGGTATAGGGAAACCAAAATTCAACTGTTCAAAATAGCCTTGAACTTTAAACTAGATCTTGTTTCTGCCTGCAGTGGTTGACCAAACTGTACTGGGAGATGGTCATGATCTCTAGGTTTCTAGTAAATGTTTATGCTAAATTAATCAGTAAGAAACATACATGAAATTGGATTAAGGATGGAAGTAGTAATTTAAAAAAGAGGAAACAGAAATCTGTGGAACCTTTACATGTATTACTCATTTTCCCCTTAAATGCTTATTTATTGAAGCTTGTATTAGTCCTGTGCAGTAAATATAAGGTAGATGTAACAGTCTATATTTAATGTTATCTATAATATCATAGTTTTTCTGTTAAGGAAAATAGTCTGACTTTTTTAACATGTACTGACATAAATCTTAAGCACAACTTCAAGAAAGTATCTTTTGCAGTAGGATGCATGTGTACCTTAATTGATACATGCACAGGTGAACTAGCAATTACAGCTCTGCAATTTTGTACTTCTAAAGAGGCATTTCAGTTTTAGTTGCATAATCTGTTTTCTCTTCCTTTTTTAAATATGAAGAAGTTGGGAGTGCGTTCTTTTTTTTTTTTTCTTTTTGGCTTTAAAGCAGTGGAGAAACGTCTGACTTACAGCTAATTTACCATACCTTCCAGAGTCAATATCCTCAGCAGGGACACAGATGGCTCATAAAAACTTCTTGGGCAGTAACACTAATTATCCCACATCTATTAAAAAATATTATCCTGACATGACACTTTTCTGAAAGGAACAGACTTTTCAATGAATGAATTGATGGTGAAAATTTGGTGTAAGAGTTGATAACTTGCACTTCATGCAAACTTTTCTTCCCTAATCAAAAACTACTTTGAACAGGATACTTGTTCTAAAGTACTTGTACCTCAGCTTTATATCACATCACAAAATAGAAAGAACAACTCATGGTGCAAAGCTAAGGGAAGCAAAAGGAATCGTATCAGCAACTTGGAGGGGAAAAAAGTGAATGGCTAATTTAATAGAGTGGTTATAGCCCTTCACCTTAGCATTCAACAATATGCAGGTATTGCTGATCCAGTTAGTTAGTCCTTAGCCCCTAAGCCTTAGAAGGTATAAGCAGAAATGCTTGAAATAATATTATGTGTATGCCCCTTGCTGCGCTAACAGCTTGTTTTCAGAAGGCAGTAAGAAATGGCCTGAATGTCTTGCTGTATAATAATAGAAGGTCTTACCTGGCTCAGTTGTTGAGGTAGGCCCATAGTGGAATATAAAACTACTTCAAAGGGAAGAAAAAAAGAAAAACAATAAAGCAACCCAAAGCAAAACCAAACATCTAAACCTGCAGTAATGAGTAAAGCATAGATATTTAATTGTTAAGAAATTGTGTTGTGCATAAAAGAAACTAGGCTGACTGTCTTAAGAACATTTTATGAAGATTTACAAGATATATTAGTCTCGAGGATCTTCTTAAAAATAAAAGAATGTTCTTAGAATTGACAGTTCCATTTATAGGTCTGAACTCTTTCTGTTCCCATTGCCACCTTTTATCAGGAAATAAAATGTCTGTGTAAAAAACCTCATGTTTATTCTTTTCCAAGTACCATTTCATAATGGCACTTCATACTTTCCAATTTTTCGATTTGTTTTCTGTGTCTGGATAAGAAGCACAATTTTTGTACTGGAATTTTTTGAGACTTGGGGTCAAACAAGTCTTGTTAGTGCTCTGGAAAAATGAATCTCTTTAGATGTCTAGGCTAGGCTAGTGTCCGGAGAAGCATCATATGTCCATGATGACTGACCTTTCAAGAATCCCAGAAGATCTTTCCAATAATTCAGCATTTCCAGATCTTTTTTTTAGAGATGTTTAGAAAGTAATTTTGAATAGTCTAAAAGCTGTAACTAGTTAGGGGCAGTATATGTACATTGTAACTCTATGGATATTTTTAAATAACCTCTCAGAAGATGTACTTGGTCTGGCATTTCTGGTCTTTACCTGTCTGCATAAGATTAGCTCTTCCACTTGTAAATGACAAATTAATGTCAGTGTCTTCCTGTTACGATGAGGTCCAAGTGTACCTATTTGCATGTGTTCTATTCAGCTGGTCTTTTCTGGTGACTTCACCTCCAAATCAGTTTTCCTCGGTCATCTTAACTTCTTACAATCAGTGCCTTCACTGATGCTCATACAGCTTCTGTTAGATTTAAGGGTAGGTGTGGCTGGGAGAAGAAGCACAGAACAAAGGAGGCCTCTTTGAAACATCCTTCTCACCAAAGGAGCAGAAGAACTGAGCAACTCAGGAGTTGCTGACTTTCATCTGCTCCCTGTTTTAGGCTCTGAGCAGTCTTTTTTTTTTTTTGTAGTTCCCTGCCAAAGCTTCTCCTGGCTGCCCTTTTCAGGGGCTGAAGAGATGCAGCCCACTGGTGAGCTTCTGTATGACGAACCGATTTGCGAGGGGATGAGTTCAGCTCTTCTAACTTGTCTGAAGTGCTGCACTGAGTTTCTGAGAAACAAAGTGGTTTGCCAAAACTGTTACTACTAAAACAGGCAGTGTAATCCCTTATCAGGTTATGTTCCTTATAGGGGAAGTGTTCAGTAGTAAACAGACTTTTAAGTAAGTCACTTCTCTGGGATGAGCTCTGCTATTTGGCACTTACGTGACTGAAGGGAATGTTATGGGCCTGTAGAAGTCTTAGTTTCTCCACCTTTAACGCGTCCAGAAGATATGTAGCTGGTCAGGTAATGTTGTCTTCTACCTCAAAGAACAAAACCAAAACATTCTTAGTTTGGTTTTGCGAACACTTCAGTATCATAATGATTTCTCCAAAGGGTACTATGTAGTTTTTGCTCCTGTGCCAGCTTTAACGTATTAGGCATTAGGCTTAATGTTTTCACAAATGTCTACTTCCACCATGTGTATCAATGATCAGACTGTAATTTTTCCTTGCTACAGATTAGCACAGTTGTACTTTAGAGGCAATTACTGATTCTGGCAAAAGAAACTAATCTTTTATGCTCTGTTTGTAAAAGGGATAAATTTTGCATGGAAACTTACTGAAAGCACCTATTTAATTAACAACATAAACACTTACCAGGCTAGTTCATATGTTTCTTGAGGGACAAGTTTAGCTACTGTGGCAGAGACTGATAAAGTAGGGGACTGTAAGAAAACATATTCAAAGACTGTGCGAGTGGCAGATGTGCACTTTGTTTGCAGCAGTGTCAAAGCTTTATGGCCCACTGATGGCTTTGCAGTTAATTGAAATTAATCCTGCTGTTTGACACTAGAGTGAACTTTAACTTTCAGGTTATGTATTAATAATTTTGTAATGCTCCGAACAAGATGTTGCCTCTTACCTGGTAAACTTTTAGAAAGGAGTAATGTTTTATCTTCATGGGGGTTTTCATATGTTTTAATTTCATGGTACTGGAAATCTTTTGTGGCAATGCTGTTGAACTTCATAATCCGGCATGAGTTTTGCTGGATACTGACTGTTCATTTGGTAATCCTACAGATCTGTATCACCTCTGAACTTGATCTTACCCTGAAAAATAAACTGCTAATTTGTGTTAGTTCAAACTCTGTTTAAAGCCAACATAGTAATAACAACGCGTTTATGCTATGTGAAGAGTTAATGTGCAAAGTGATGCGTTCTGGTCAAATTGATCAGTAATTCCTTTGTACAGTCAGTGCTGTGGGGGACAGAGGCTGAAAAAGGGCAGTTGGCTCCATCCAGCTTTGGCCCCACTTTTGCCCCATCCATGGTGAGGGTGTTCTGGTATGCTCAGTTTGGATCTGAGGAGCACCACTTATAGTTTGGAATGTGTACAGATCACTTCTCCAGTGATTTCCAGTTCATTTCAAATAAATCACTTGCAGGGAGTTGCTAAGTCTATGGACTTGATGCTGTACTTTTCTCAATCCTTCAGGTATCTTCAGGAGGATGGCATACTCAGGCTAAAGGTAGAATTAAAGAAAACAAATAAAAGAAAACCCCAGTATTCGGATCTGTACATTCAAATGATTACTTCACCAAAATATCAAGAAACTAAATAATCATGAGATTAGATGGAGAATGCTTAAATGTATAAATAATTCATTGAAATGTGAGAAGTGGACAGTAGGCATATGTGCTCCTTGGCTTTCACAATGGAGGGAGGTACCAAGTAGAATTCTCCAGGAGTCTTCTCTGTTCATTGTAGTCATAAGTGCCCTAGAGAAGAGTATGTGCAGTGAGGCAGTAAAGTGGGCTACTTGGCAGTAAATACAAAAGAGGGCAACCTGGTTGATGAAATAACAGCATGGATAAATGTCAAGTGATTTCCTTCCTGAGGAAAGT